GGTGCAGACTCAGCGGCCCCTCACAAAGCACTGGCCGGGGCCGACCACACCAGCTCACCAGCCCAAAGGGTGACACAAAGGCAGCAGTGTCTATACCCATCCTCTCCTGAAAATCTCCACTCCTTTTTTTTTTTTAAATATGACAATATTTGTCAATGTTGTCTTAAATTAGAAAATAAAGAAAGATATTCTGTCCCATACCTTTTCATAGTTCTGGGCTACAGTGTTTGGGTGATGGGAGCTTAGTCACACACATGACCTTATATATCCCAAAAATCCTTTACACCAATGATAACTTGGAGAACAAGCCAACCTGTCTGAGATTTTTGGCAGAAGATAAATATATCCACAGTGTAAATACTGTGAACAACAGAATTTTAAAGTCTAAGCCCTTAGGATTTGTGGAAATTTAACATCTTTTTTATTAAAAATATCAAATTTCCGTTTTAACTGGAAGGTTAGGGAAACATTGTTCTACTTTGCTGGTTAGTTTTTTCATAAGGGAATCTAGCATCAGGTATAGAGATCTTTTCTACAGCCACTGATGAATAAAATTATCTCCTTCAATAGCTAGGAGCTTATTGCAATATTTATAATAAACCTGGAATTCACATTCTAAGCCAATATTTGAATAAACAAGTGTATTGGAGGAAAAAGTCAAATCTTATTGAAAATATTTGTATAGTTGTCTCTCAAATGCTTACATATGAATCCGGGAAAAGCCTGAAAAACTATGTTTTTGCTATTCTGGCAATTGTTATTGATTTGCTCATCGGTCAAGAATTTCACGTTCCCTTTTAAAGGTTTGCCTACATCGTCCCAAGCAGGTCCAAAGATAGGAACACTTTATTTATAGGAGTTGTGGTATGAAAGAACGATGTTGTGGGAACTCCCTCTTAGCACAACAGGAGGAACCCTGTCCCGTGCTGGCCCTGGTACACGTGCTGAGTTCTCCCATCCCGCCATGGCTTTGGTGGCTGTTTGGGGAGATGGTTTGCCAGCAGGCGGGTTCCCCAGAGGAATTTAGAACTTGCATTGCTGTGACAACAATGTTGTGACTGACAGGGGAGGGAGCTGTCCAACTTGAGGACTTCGTTCAACGATAAATGTCATGTCTCACCTTCCCAAGATTCTAAAATATTTCCAGTTACAATCACTGGCTTAGAACCACAGTTAAGAAAGGTGGTGTACCACAGAAAATCCCACTGTACTAGGATTTGTCATTATAAAATACACACTGAAGCTCCAGGATAGGCAAATCAGAACAGAAAAATGTGGTGTGCTTGTCTGAGTTAGCCATCATGGCTAAAATTTATTCTATGGAAAAACATGTCCCAGGCTCCAAACAGACTTTTATTACAAAGTCTATTCATGTGTTCGGATCTGCTTTCAGTGTTTGATGAGATATATTAGAGATTATACATGTGATATACATATTTATTATATCTGCGATATGTATCACATAGGAATAAAGGGATTACATCGTTTGTTGGTTTAAAAAAGAAATAAAACCAAGGTGATCAGAAATAATAAATTAGATTCTATGACAAAGCTATACTCACAAAAAGAAAAATCTTGAATAAGGTTGAAATGATATCCATTAATCCCTTCATAAATTTATACTTTGGGGGAACAGTGCTTTCAAGTGTGTATATACACACTCACACACACATATAATATTTTCTGTATTTCTATTTTATATGTTATATATAATCACTTTGGCTATACATAACAGACAGTCTTAGGAAGATTTTCTTTTCCCAAGTGAGAGCTCTTAAGAAAACATAAGGGAAAGCATGCCCATTTCTCCTATGCTAGTATTTTTTTTTTTGACAGGCAGAGTTAGACAGTAAGAGAGACAGAGAGAAAGGTCTTCCTTTTTTCCATTGGTTCACCCTCAAAACAGATGCTACGGCCGGCGCGCTGCGCCAATCGGAAGCCAAAGCCAGGTGCTTCCTCCTGGTCTCCCATGGGGTGCAGGGCCCAAGCACTTGGGCCATCCTCCACTGCCTTCCGGGGCCACAGCAGAGAGCTGGACTAGAAGAGGGGCAACCGGGACAGAATCCGGTGCCCCAGCCGGGACTAGAACCCGGGTGCCGGCGCCGCAGGCAGAAGATTAGCCTATTGAGCTGCGGCGCCGGCCTTATGCTAGTATTTTGATTTTGTACATTCAGCCCAATTCTAGAAACATCAAGAATTTTCATTCATTGAGCTCCCGTTGGAAGCTGGGTGACAGGACAGGAAGATGCGGCTGTGCTAATGTATTTAATGGAGAGGAGTGAGGCAGGCTGGGAAGGGAGCTGCCCTGGCAGGGCTGAAGATTTCTCAGGACTCACCAATTCAAGATTCATCTCTCTCTCCACCGGTCGCTTGGTGCCAATGGCCTGAGAACTGGCCGTGACACACGTAGTTCTCCTGATCACTCATCCACCCCCACTCTCTAGTTCTTTTTCTCCTTTCCCTCCTCCTCCTCCTCCTCTGTGCCTGGTGAACTCCCACATCTCTGTCAGTCCTTGGCCTGGTTATCCCTTCCTTAGGGAGAGACTCCATGGCCCCCGGAGATTAGGCTAGATTTTCCTCTTATTTGTTCCTGTAACACCTTGGGCTTTGAAACATGCATCACATTCGTGAGCATTTGGATAAGGTGTGTCTCCCTGGCTAAACTGCAAACTACAGGCGCGTCAGTTGTGCCTCACCTGGGAGGTCCTCAGTAACTCATCAGTGAGTGAACCATTGAAGAAATGTTCATGTGAACAAATGAAGAAAATGAGGGAAGTAAACAGGGCTTGGTGCTGTTTCCAAGTGAGCTTCCGTGCAGGGACAAAGTATGTGCATCACTAAAGGTACGTTCCTGACTGTTAAATCCTTAGCTTAGGAATTTTCAGGGTGAGTGAAAGGAAGGAGGGAGAAAGTATAGCTTCTAAAGAGAATAATTTTTAAAACATATTTACATCATTAATTTAATTTTTTTCAGTCATCTTATTAAGAATTACTTCAGAATTTTAAATAATGTTAGAGAATAACGTGGGATTTTAATTTCTATCAAAAGGGGCTATATTTTAGAAAAAAAAAATTTAAATACTTCCTTAGGAGTAGGCATTTGGCCTAATGGTTAAAATGCCTGTATTCCACATTGGAGTGCTTGTGTTCAATGCCTGTCTCCAGCTCCTGACTTTGGCCTCACATTAAAGCAGACCCTGGGAGGCAGCAGTGATGGCTCAATTAATTGGGCTCCTGCCACACATGTGGGCAACCTGGATAGAGTGCCTACCTTCCAGCTTCACCCTGGCACAGCCATGGCCTTTGCAGGCATTTGGTGAGTGAACCAGCAGATGGCAATACTCTCTGTCTCTCTTTCAAATGAATACTACTTTTTTAATTTTTAAAAATAAAAAGAAAGGGGCTGGCGCTGTGGCGCAGCAGGTTAAAACTCCAGCCTGCAGTGCCAGTATCCCATATGGGTGCTGGTTCAAGTCTCAGCTGTTCTGCTTCTGATCTAGCTCCCTGCTAATGGCCTGAGAAAGCAGTAGATGGCCCAGGTCTCCACCCACGTGGGAGACCCAGAAGAAGCTCCTGGTTCCTGGCTTCCGATCTGCTGAGCTCTGGCCATTGCAGTCATTTGGGGAGTGAACCAGTGGATGGAAGACTTACTTTCTTTCTCTCTCTACCTCTCTCTCTCTACTTCTCTCTGTAACTGTCTTTCAAATAAATAAAATAACACTTAAAAAATAAAATAAAATTAATAAGTGTTCAAAAACAATTACTGCCTTAGCTTACTACTCCTCTTTTACAAGGTGACGATCAGAGCTATACTACAAACAAGTAAACACTTTGCTACACACAAAAAATAACAAAACCATTAGAATACACTGGCATAATTTCCTAAGAAATATAAAAGCACTGTTGAAAATGGTTACTTTGTCTATGGCATCCTTAAATATAGCTCTCTAACTTTATCCCCCACTGTGTTATTTGTACTGTCAGTCACCTCCCCTCTAAACCTGCACAACTTTCCTTCCACAAGAAATAACCCCCCTTGGGGCCGGTGCTGTGGTGCAGAGGGTTAAAGCCCTGGCCTGCAGTGCCGGCATCCCATACAGACACCAGTTCGAGTCCTGGCTGCTCCACTTCCAATACAGCTCTCTGCTGTGGCCTGGGAAAGCAGTAGAGGATGGCCCAAATCCTTGGGCCCCTGCACCCACATGGGAGACCTGGAAGAAGCTCCTGGCTCCTGGCTTCGGATCGGCTCAGCTCTGGCCATTGCAGTCATTTGGGGAGTGAACCACTGGATGGAAGACCTCTTTCTCTGGCTCTACCCCTCTTTGTAACTCTTGCAAAATTAAATAAAACAAATCTTAAAGAAAAAAGAAAAGAAAAAAAGAAACCCTTCAACACCTTGTTAAGAATGAAATGACTAACTGGCAGCATAACTTGTTTCATGAAAATTTATGTTCAGCCTGATAGCTAATGTCCTATACTTGTATTCTGAAAAACTTCTGCCCAACATCAATGATCTCCTGTAGCAATAAGAGATTTAATATCCTGGCAGGTCCAGAGTGGACAGGTCCCTGTAGTTGGGACTCTCATGTTTCAGATAGCCTTTTGTTCTCTCCGCCAGGCTGGAGTAAGGTTTTGATTTTAACCCTAATGGATCTGACAGGTGTCAATTTTCATATCAGTTTTCTGTCTCATTGTCTTTGAAGTGGAACTCGCTCGAGGTTTGTGTTCCCTTTAGAGAGCTTTCCTGATGCTGGAGCAGTGAAAAGGCCCAGGAAGCAAAACCATCAGCAGGGTGGAGCGCCCAAGAGCAAAGAGAAGCACGAGGCTTCCCAGTGACACACGTGCAGCATCCGGGCCTCGGAGAAGTCTGCAGCCCCAAATGTTACACGCTAATTACATATGCTGCTCCTTCCATGAAGGGTTGAAGAACAGGGCCGCACACATCCTTCTGGCTTCACAGGAGTAAGGAGGGTGGCAGACGGGGAGGGCGTGGTACGTACCTATTGCCCTGCTTTGTTCTAAACAGTTCTCGTACACACTGCTGCACTTGGAGTTTCCAGGCTGTACAAACAAGTTGTGAAACATTTACAAACATAGCACACATTCATAAACTCATTACAAATATTCATAAAAAAATACTCTCAGAGGATCAGGGCAGGCCCCTGCACTTTCTGACATGGCAACTGTCTGCCAGGTAAGATCCAGGGTGGGGAGAGTCCCTGCGTCTCCCAGCCCATTGTTTTGGAGGTGCAGAGGTGAGACACTGAGGTGGAGGGCTGCAGAGACTGACACGGCCCTGTGTCTGAAGGGTTACCACTTTGTTTCGAATTTCATACCCAGGACTCAATCAAATCTCAGCCACAAAGTGATTTTCAGGGCATTAGTATGAACACTGGCCCTGTTGCCAAGCTCTTTCTAACTTTGAACTGGCAGGCTGGAGCCCTGGTCTACTGAGGCTTGTGGCAGGCTCACTTCTCACTCTGGAAATCTCATCTCCTCGGAGGGCTTCAGCCATCCCATGGCTGTCCTCGGGAGTGGAATGGGGATCCACTCGGACCTTTGAGAAGGACAGTGTCATTATGGGCTTTAGAATAATGACTCTAGACCTGTGCAGGAGCACTTCAGGGATGAGACTGGACATAAAAATGGGGTTTTCAGAAGGCAATTAGGGACCAGAACTTAGAAACATACTCTGAGGATGGAAACGTTTGGGCAAACTCAAAAGATAACAGACTAGGTTGATACACAACCTAAAGTATGAGAAAAATAAAAGACTGCAGGTTAGTGAAACAGTGGCACTACCACTAAACAACACGAGCAAATCAGTCAAGGAATTGAGTTGGGAGTCAAGGAGAAAATGCTGAGTCTAACCTTGACAAAAATAAGCAATGTGCTACAATGTGGTATTACATCAGGGAAGACAGATAAGGGCTAAAGATGGGGCAAGATGAGTGCCGACAGCAGAGCCTTGGAGGGTGCCTACCTGGTAGGAAGGTGGGGATGGAAGAAAACACAATATAAAAGAAAAAGATGCAACTTACTTTGAAAACTATCAAAAATAAGATGGACCAATGGATGATAAATGAATACATATTTCAAAGAGCAAATATAGCAAGATGCTAAATGCTGGACGTAGGTGGCAAGTATGTAGCTATTCACTGCATAATTCTAAATGTTTCTGTATATTCGAAAATACTCATAATTAAATGTTGCAAAACATGAAAAAAGGAAAGAAAGCAGCAACTAGAGATGTGAGAAGAAAAAGACAACTTGGAACTGTTTTGGAATCTAACAGAAGAGGGTCTCAAAAAAAGAGAGGCAGCCAACAGGTCTCAAATGCTGTAGACAAATGCAGAAGATTGGGTAGGGAAATACAGTTAGCAATTAAAAACCACTGGTGACCTTTGTAAAAGCAATCAAGTTACCATGTAGAGGTCAGGAGCCAGTGTTGTGGTGTAACAGCTGAAGCTGCTGCCTGCAATGCTAGCATCCCACATGGGTGCCAGTTTGTATCCCCGCTGCTCCAGTTCTGGCCCAGTACCCTGCTAATGCCTGGGAAAGCAGTGGAAGATGGCTCAAGTCCATGGGGCCCTGCACCTGCATGGGAGACCTGGAGGAAGCTCCTGGCTCCTGACTTCAGCCTGGGACAGCCCTGGCGGTTGCAGTCATTTGGGGAGTGAACCAGTGGATGGAAGTCCTCTCTCTCTCTCCCTGTTTCCCTCTGTAACTCAGCCTTTAGAATAAGTACAGGGCCGGCCCTGTGGTGCAGCTGGTTAATCCTCTGCCTGCGGCGTCGGCATCCCATATGGGCACCAGGTTCTAGTCCCGGCTGCTCCTCTTCCAGTCCAGCTCTCTGCTGTGGCCTGGGAAAGCAGTAGAAAATGGTCCAAGTCCTTGGGCCCCTGCACCCATATGGGAGACCGGGAAGAAGCACCTGGCTCCTGACTTCAGATTGGTGTAGCTCCGGCTGTTGCAGCCATTTGGGGAGTGAACCAACAGAAGGAAGACCTTGCTCTCTGTCTCTCCCTCTCACTGTCTGCAACTCTACATCTCAAATAAACATGTAAAATCTTAAAAAAAATAAGTAAAATAAATCTTAAGAAAAAATGTCTAGCGTGACATGAAAGCAGATAGAAACAATGCTTTCTAGAAGTTTGTGGATAAAGGGAAAATTAGAAAGAGGTGGGACATACTAGTTGGGTTGGCAAGTCAAGTTTATCTGCAGGCAGAAGATGAAGAATCAATAGACAGAAAACAAAGTTTGAGGTTGAGGCTAAAGGACAGAACAAGGGCACAAAGTTGGCAAGAGGGGATTGGATTGGGAGTGCAGGGGAAAGATTGGTTTTGGAGACGGTTGCTAAGGAAGAGAAGCAGAAAGAACAGTGGCGATGTGCAGATGGGGAAGGGTGAAGTTGAGGATAACTTGTTGGATCGCCCTAGTCCTCCTGGAAGTGGATATGAGGTCATCCGCTAAGGCTCTGGTTGGGAGATTAGAAGTAAAAATCATCTAGTACATGCTCCAACATGATTCACTCTCTGGCCTTGTTTTTGAACGAGATGGGGCTTTCTCTAAGCTAGCATTTGGAAGCCCTCAAATTAACAGCTCCCCATGATAAATAAAGCCAGAATTGCCTTGTTGGTTCAAGTAACAATAAGACATGACTTACCAGATAGCACAACTTTTCACACCGGATGGGGCAGTAAGCCATTTGTTCTGTGGCTTGAACTTTGGCGCGTACGTCGGAGACACCACCAGCAGGTGGCTGCTTCCCTGGGATCTCATTGTAATACTCAGGACCTTCCCTCTCTTCAGCTGGGCCATCAATGTGCACCTCCTCACTGAAAGGCAAAAAAGAATTCCCAAGGGGTTGGGTGAGACTTCCAATGCTGGAGGGAATGCAGAGGGTCAGAACCAGCAAATGATCCCGAAAAACTGTGCATTCATGCTTTAAGTTTATAGCTATGCTTAAGTGATGTCAAACATCTGGATAGAAGCAACCAGATGGTTGAGTTGTTTAGCATTCCATAGACAATTAAAGTGGAGTGAAAGCTGACAAAAAGCACCGAGGGTGATGTTTTTGTAACCCCTCCAGTGATAACTAATAGTAATAAATAATGAAGTCCCAAATAGAGGTCCTTTTGCCTTGGGATCACAAAAATACAAAGTTTCCCTGGGTATCTCTGGCATACCTTGATTGTTCCATTTTGGAAATGTTTTGCTGGAAGCAAATTCACATATTGTTCTTTGGGTAGAGGGCCCAGCCCAGTTTTCAAAATCAAGATGAAAAAAAAAAAAAATAAGAGAGCTATGGCCAGCTATCACGTCTGCACAAATCTGGAGGCGTATATGGGATTCATAAAGAAATATTAGAACCATATGTGGCAAGTGGGTAAACACACAATTGTTTTTAAAACTGAAACAGGGCAAAAAAAAAATTGGAGTTCTCTTACAAATTGGGATTGGTAAATTCTTATAAAAAAGAATAAATCAAGTCTTTTTTGATTAAACTCATTCCACTGGCGATCCACATGGTTTCATTGGGTTCATTACCAGTCAATAAAACAAAAACACTAGAGTTAGTGCCATCCAGGGAAAAATTTAGCATCAAGGCCCTCAGTAAAACCCTCTCTTTGCTAGCCCAGATCCCTTCATAAAGGAAAATCACCACGCCCAGTGTTTGTTGATATACAAAATGTCAAATTAGGGGGAAAATGCATTTTAAAGTGCCCAAGCATTTCATTTCTCAGGCGTGAACTGTGCAAGCCTGAGGCCTCACTGCATTGCACACATGGAGTCTGACAGCCATGAAGAGGTTTTACTGTCACTGTGGATTTTCTGTGCATTAACAAGCAGAACGAGCAGATCCTCAGGTCACGTCGTATCCCACCTCCTGCCACAGCTGCGCTGGAGTTGATCTACTGCCATGGCAAACCAGCAAACTAACGGCAATTTCGGCAACAGACACGCGATGCTTATTATTTGGCTCTGATTATTATTATTCTTATTACGTGGCTCTTTTTTTAACTGATATGCTAGGAATTTGAGTTTGAAATAAGTCGGAGAAATCTGTAGATGCATATTATCTGATGATTCCCCTTAATTAATTCATAGCCCTGTGTAACAGAAAAACAGGGCCAACCTCTTCTTACTTTTTGTCTCTCCTTTAATCTAATTACAAAGCAAGGGGAAATATCTGAATAAATATGAATGGAAGAAAAACAGAATAGAAGCTGTGTCTATTGGTAAGGGAAAACATACTAATTCCATTAGTCAATTTTAAGATGCCATATTAATTTAAAAAATACATAGCAAGTCAAATAATTATACCACTCTCTGCCAACCTTTCACAAGAAGCATTCAAAGAAGGATTTTTCAAGTACTGTTTAAACCGGAGTTCAAAAGCCTGCCCTATGGTGCTTATGACGTCTTGAGCCATTCCGCTGCGGCATTCCAGAATGTGGCAGGCTGCAAGAACACATACCAAAAAGGAATATTACAATAAATTTGCAGGAAGAGAAAATTACATAAAGTCAAAATACTTCCAGCACATGAACCGGTAATTGAATGAATGGAAGTGGTTTTACAAACTCTCTGCAGCTCTGAAATGGTAGGAAGGGTGCAAAACAATGGGAAGAAACACTGGGGTTTTACACACATTTGGGTCTCACAGCAGGTATTTTGGGTCCACATTTTTATAAAAGAAAACTGATTTTGAATCATAATCTGGCGTTCATGAAGTCAATACAGGAGATGCTCAAGCCTGCGATCTGATGGGAGGATGAGGTTTGAGGCTTCCTGTGTGGCGGGTTACAGGAGACTGAAAAAGGTAACTTTCCAGCCCCACCCCCAGACAGAGACGGGGCTGCTGGTGCAGATAAGGGCTTGGGAATACTTCCTTCTCTAGCCACTTCTCAGAGCAGTGATCAGTATGGTAATATCCATCTTCAAAATTCTGCTCAAGAACTCTCTCAGACCAGCATCAAAATCAGTACTGAATTTAGTACAGGAAATTTAGTATTGGAAGATACTAAAGATTTTTCTCTGAGAAGCAGTTACTGGGAAGGGGCTAGTTTTCATGTGCAAAATAAATAAGCTTGGGGCTGGTGCTGTGGCGCAGCAGGTTAAAACCCTAGCCTGAAGTGCCGGCATCCCACAGGGGTGCCAGTTCTAGTCTCGGCTGCTCCTCTTCTGATCCAGCTCTCTGTTATGGCCTGGGAAAGCAGTAGAAGATGGCCCAAGTGCTTGGGCCCCGGCACCCACGTGGGAGACCAGGAAGAAGCTCCTGGCTCCTGGCTTTGGATGGGCACAGCTCCGGCCGTTGCAGCCATCTGGGGAGTGAACCAGCAGATGGAAGACCTATCTCTCTGTCTCTCCCTCTACCTCTCTATAACTCTGTCTTTCAAATAAATAAAAATAAATCTTTAAAAAAGAAAATAAGCTAGAGGTGGGAAGGTAGCTGACCACACATTAGCAAATGTGCTGCTGACATCAAAGCAGGAGCTTGTGTTCGGGTTTCTGTCAGTCAGTTTCCCCAATGTATATAATACCATTCTTGCCTTGGTTACAGTAGGACGTGATGTTTAGGGCCTGGCAATGCAAAGTCTTAATCTGCTGCTTCACACGGATGACTCAGAAATAGTCCTGGCTGGCGCCGCGGCTTACTAGGCTAATCCTCGGCCTGTGGTGCCGGCACTCCGGGTTCTAGTCCCAGTTGGGGCGCTGGTTCTGTCCCAGTTGCTCCTCTTCCAGTCCAGCTCTCTGCTGTGGCCCCGGAGGGCAGTGGATGATGGCCCAAGTGCTTGAGCCCTGCACCCACATGGGCAACCAGGAGGAGGCACCGCCTGGCTTTGGATCGGCGCAGCGCGCTGACCGTAGCAGCCATTTGGGGGGGGGGGGGGTGAACCAACGGAAAGAAGACCTCTCTCTCTGTCTCTCTCTCACTGTCTAAATCTGCCTGTCCAAAAAAAAAAAGTCCTTAGGAGGAGTTGAAATAGCAGTAATATCTGGAGAAATCCTAAACATAACTGAGGGATGAAGAAAAACTAGGTAACCATTTCAAGATGGTAGTGAACATTGCCAGCCATTCTCTCAGCACAGGAAAGAAAAAGAGGTGATGCACTTCAGGGCATGCGTGGAAAAGCAGATTAAACACCAAGGAAAGCATCTTGGGTCTTGGAATTTCAAAACCAACACTGGAACCTATTACTCACAGGGATATCTGAAGAGAAGAGAGAGTTATCTTTGTGGAATAGTTTTAACCGCATTGACTTTATGCTTTGCATTGTCTTGGAAAAGATACCATATTTACTTAAAGTAAAAGGCAATCCATTCACAGTTGATAAAATTTCCAGGGCTGATAATAATAAATCATAGAATCTATAACAGCATTTCTGAGCCTTATGTTGCTAATCAACTCAAGGACTCTCAGAAAGTCTCTTTCCACAATTAATTTTTTTTTTTAATTTGAGAAACAGAGAGATAGATAAAGAGCTCTTATACACGGCTTCACTCTCCAACTGCTGTGATGGCCCAGCCTGGGGTGAGCCGAAGCTAGGAGCCAGGAACTCCATCCAGATCTCCCACACGGGTGGCAGGAACCCAGTTACTTGAACCATCTCCACTACCTCCCAGGATCTGAATAAGCAGGAAGCTGGAGCCAGAGTTTGGGCCCAGGCCCTACAACATGAGATGAGGGCCTCACAACCAGCATCTTAACCGGGAAGCCAAATGTCGGACCGGATGTGATTGGTTTTGGAAGGATTTACGTCTCTGAACACTTTTGGAAGGGCTATGTGCCTTGGATGCTGAAACACAAGTTAACTCTACTTTTGAAAACTATTAAGAATATGTTATAAATGTACATCCTAACCACCCAAAGACAGTCTTTTCTCTTTCTTTAAACTATCACTTAATATTTTCCCTGTATTCTTCTCTATAGTAGTTTTAAAAACACTTGTTTGAGCAGGTATTTGGCCTACTGGTTAGGGTGCCCATGTGCCATAACTGAGTGTCTGAGTTTGACATCTGCCTCTCGCTGCTGATTCCAGCTTCCTGCTAATGCAGACACCAGGAGGTAACTGTGATGACCCAAGTGACTGGGTTCTTGCCACCTACATGAGAGACCTGGATTCAGTTCCTGGTACCCAACTTTGGGCTTTTGGGGACTGAACCAGAGAATGGGCTCACTTTCTCTTGCTGTCTCTCTCTCCTTCTCAAGTAAATAATAAAAATATCAGTTGACAACAGGAGTCACTGTGCACTTACTCCTCATGTAGGATCTCTGTCCTTAATGTGCTGTACACTGAGGCTTAATGCTATAACGAGTACTCAAACAGTATATTTCACTTTGTGTTTCTATGGGGGTGCAAACGATTGAAATCTTTACTTAATGTACACTAAACTGATCTTCTGTAAAAAAAAAAAAAAAAAGAAAAAAAGAAATTATCAACTCCCAACTTGACGCTCACTGGGATTAAACATGATAATAGGTCTGATCTGATTTCATCATCATTTAAAAAAAATCATCTATTATTTTTCACTTTATGTTTCTGTGTGGGAGCAAACTGTTGAAATCCTTACTTAAGGTATACTAAGCTGATCTTCTGTATATTAAGATAATCGAAAATGAATCTTGATGTGAATGGAAGGGGAGAGGGAGTGGGAAAGGGGAGGGTTGTGGGTGGGAGGGACGGTATGGGGGGGAAAGCCATTGTAACCCATGAGTCGTACTTTGGAAATTTATATTCATTAAATAAAAGATAAAAAAAAAAATATCAGTTGATAGAATAAATCCTAGTTTCTCTGAATCATATCATTATTTCTAGGACATGAAATTCTCTGCTCTTTTATTGAAGTGTGAGCTGCAGCAAGTCCCCAGTTGATGGAAGATTTCTCTCTCTCTCTCAAATAAATAAATAAAATATATTTTTAAATATATGGCATAGCTGGTAAAGCTACCACCTGTGACACCGGCATCCCATTATGGGTGCTAGTTTGAGTCCAGGCTACTCCACTTCTGATCCAGCTCCCTGTTAATTTGCCTGGGAAAGCAGTGGAGGATGGCCCAAGTGTTTGGGCCCCTGCACCTAGATGGGACACCCAGAAGAAACTCCTGGCTTTGGACCGGTCCAGTCCTGGCTGTCGCGGCCATCTGAGGAGTGAACTAGTAAATTGAATATTCTTTTCTCTGTCTCTCCACCTCGTTCTGTAACTCTGCCTTTCAAATAAATAAAATAAGCCTTTAAAAAAATGAAGAAGATAATGAGAGGCAGGAGACTCAAACATGTAGGTATACACACGTACAGAAAAATATATTGTGCTTCCAGTGAGAGGGATAAGAGACGAAGGATGTTTAAAAGAACTCTGTGAAAAGATTTATATCTGAGTTCAAGTTCCAGTTATGCCACCATCTGTGTGACCTGGACAAATCGCTCAATGGCAAGGTCCGCACCTGCCAAGGCAAAGTGCTGGTGGCTTCTGAAGCCCTTTTTTTACTTTATAGACTCTTATCCTTTATCACAGTAGCTTAAACCCTTTAAGGAACGGAACAAAGCAGGTAGGCACAATGGAATGAGCGAATCAGCCAAACCCACCTACCACCCTTTAACACTTCTAACACAGGAGGGCCTTTCAGAAAGTCTGTGGAAATTATGAAAAAACTGCATGGGCTTCTAAATTCTTTTATTCCAAAGTAAGCTTATCTTTGAATTCCATATTTCCAAGAACCCGCTCAAGTACATTCCATACTTCTAAAATGCTTTATTTGTCTTAACTTTTCCAATGCTGATATATTGAGGTTTTTTGCCTCTTTATGGGCTGATGCCACCAACAACATTTTCTGCTTGGCTTTAGATTACCATATGACTGCCAGCTTATTCTTTAGGAGATTAAACAGGAAGAAAACCAGTGGTGCCCATTTCTCTCCCCAGGAGAAGTGGAACAGGCCGATCCTGGACAGCTGTTCTTCTTCCCAGTCTTGCCTCCCTTGGGGAACACGCCTGTTTGGATGGAGCTATCTGTTGCCGTCATTCTCAGACATGCTGCTCTGTGAAAATGATCAGGATAGGGGCGGGCCTTTAATTCCATACACATATGCCCATTTCCAAATATTAGAGATACCCCCAAAAGCTTGACCAAGAATTGCAATCTATAGCTAACAGAAAGGAAGAAAGGCCAGTTTATACAAAGTCCTAAAAGAAAGACAAGTATCCACAGAGTTCCAGGTACCAAAAAGGAATGCAGCTTCTCAGTGACCTGTAATTTGGCTAAGGACGCTTCACTTTGCACTCCCTGTCTGCATGGGGTTTTGACTTCCTGCCTTGGAGCCGGACAGACCCACAGTTCTACCACTGGGTGTCGCTCCAGACACTGTATTAAGAAGGATTTAAAAGAATCTTATATTCATAGTCTTCTAGATTTTTCCTTTGGCTTCCTAGCCAGGAAGTCATGGACAAGAGGATGAGAAC